GTATCAACCTGTACCAACAATCTGACTTGCATAGATGCAAATACAAATGTATGCCAAAATTACGTATAACCTTCACATTAAAATCGTGCGTTTTCAAACTTTTCTGCTCTTCCACTATACCCTTTTGTATCAATGTCAGGTTGATAAGATAGCACTGGGTAATAAAAATACCTTCTTCATTATCAGCAGATGAAGCGGAAATGAAATTTAAAGAAAATGTCAATAATGCAATCCAAAAACATACAAATACACTAACAATACAAAACAAAAACTATCATCGTGTCGCCACATTGACAATCTGACGTCATTGTTTGTAAGGTGATATTCCAGTAAGAAATAAGATAGGATTAGTGTTGTTGAGCGGAGATATTTTCCTTACTTATGTTCCCTTAAGATAAATTCGTGACAGCCAATAGCTATATCAAAAACTGAGGAAGGTTTGCCACATGGTAGGAGGAACGAGAGAGAGTTACGTAATGTTCTGGTTACTCTCTAATGACATTCCAGTGACTGTATCACTGTTGATCGCACTGTGTCGACATTTGACCGTCTCTGGTCTTTCAGACACTTGTCATTACCCTTTATATACAGATATTTGAAAAATGGTTGAATCTAATCAAGGTAATTGCAAGAACGCTGTTACCCAACCATCAATTGTCAAGCCATACTATGCAATCGTTTAAAATCCCGTCTTTTTTCGCGCACTTTATACGGGTGCCGTTTTGACACGACGTCATGGATATGAACGTATTGCGCAATGTTGTACCCGTGAACATGACCAACTTCGGGTAGAACTTGCCGTCAATGGAAATTTGACTGGGGCCCGTGATCCAGTTGAAATATTGAAACCTGATCCCGGTTTTAGTAGAGCCATGGAGAAAACGTCGTTTTCCAACAAGACAACATAACCAAAAACACCAGTTACGTCCCCGGGACACTTTCAAAGCTATACAATATTGGATTCTCTTGCAATTCAAGATCGGTCACCAATAGAACATGTTTGTGATGCCCTGGGGAAGCCGTATCGACGCTGCCAAAATCAATCCGGTAACTTACAATAACTAGTTATGCGTGGTCCGATCATACGTTTTATCATATTGCATATTACATGTATTAAATGTCTTCAATAGTTTTGACCTTAAACAATTGTATATGTACTTCTCTAAAATGTTCTCATTCGATTGTTAGTACGTTGTTTATTGTAGCAGGTGTAGCGTTTCAGTAAGGGCACGCGTACACAAGGATTAGCTGGGATATTTAAGTTGCCCTTTTTCTAATTACAGTTCTAGGTTTGTATCAGGCCACATGTCAACGGCATTGATATTGCTGTCCATATTGTATATATATATATATATATATGATGTCTTATAGTAACTTTATTAAAAATATATATTCTTTTCTATTTATAAAATTCTGATTGATCCTTTTCTTCAGGGTCAATACACCAGGAGATTACTGTATAAAGGAAAAACCACAGCGCAGTGGGACAGGGACCCTTAAGGGGAGGTAACTGTATAAAGGAAAACCCAGAGCGCAGTGGGACAGGGATCATTAAGGGGAGGTAACTGTATAAAGGAAAACCCAGAGCACAGTGGGACAGGGATTCTTAAGGGGAGGTAACTGTATAAAATTGATTTGAGGCCGATATGCCTCCCAACAGCTAGTAAAAGAGAAATTAAGGTCCGCATGACTAAGATTTATAAATGAACTTCAGATAATATGTAATTTCATACCACTCATCTTGGTCGCAAAAGAGACTAACATGTTATAACACCAGTGAACTAGTTTTTATAAGGATATCAGCTTTAATGAATCATTATTGACAACGTTAACGTCGCTAGGTAACATTTTGATAAACGAAATACAAATTCAACATTTCCAAATCATTGGGTTAATTATACCATCTTTTAGGAGACTTGCCGAACCTTAATTTTTCAAATACATTTTGGGTCATTGACAAAAACTATTTCATTTAAATGAAATTCATACCGATAAAAATGAACAAATCAGCATTTCGATAATTCAGTTACCATGCTACAAGGTATCAACTTCAAAAACATACAACATATCGAATATTATTGCATTTGTTATATTCCCATACAAGAAGCTGTTTTTTGTAAACGTTTTATTCGATTCAATCTGTTTTAAAACTAAATATCATTAAACAGGCAATTCTTCTCTTTTTTGTAATTTTGATTGCACTGCTAACGTCATTTATATAAAGATCAAACATTTCTAACTTCTACATGGTAACGATATCCACATATCGGTTGGTTCAGAAGGGAGAAAATTCATGTTCAATTAAAATGACAGCTTTATATAACATATAGAGTTTCAATTTTAAAAAAGATCTGAAAGTTAAATGATTACATTTGTTGATCTTTTCTCACGCTTTGGCTGGCTTGATAATATCCACTGACATGATGAATTCGTAATGAAGTGTTACATGTAACACTTCATTAAGTTAACATGTGTAACTTGTTAGACATGATATTAAATTGGTGAGCTGGCTCTGTGATCGACTTAGGCTCTTCCGATACAATTCAAACAAAAAGCTTCTATGAAACACGCCTAATTGTTTCATTTAATCTACACAATAGGTTCAGTATTAACAACTGTGCGTCTTTTAGGTCTATTGTCTAACCCAGATAGCAACCAAAAGAACCGTTCGTTTCAACCAAATAGAATCAGAGATATTTCTATGGTGACAGGGAACTGACCACATGCTACACTTTGTGTTTCGTGTTTCTGTATTTGTAGAAAAAGTCTTTCTGCATTCTAGTCAATTATCTGCGGTACAACAAACAGCAATACTGTTCGAAATCTATATTTCTACCTGACATATTTGTTTTCAATAAATCAGTCATCTGTTTACCCTCCACAAGACATGATTTTCTGTAACATCGTTTCAATAACATACATGCAGCTAAAGGGAGATAACTTGAACATAAAAATCATGTCGATTTCTCAGATTGTTTATGTTTTACACAAGGATTGATTGGTTTAGTTTGATTTGATATTGTTTAACGTACTATTAATAGCTAAGGTCATTTAATAAAGTCACAATGATTGAGATTACTTCTGAGTTCCTTCTGTAGAAAAGTTGAATATTAACGTATGTTTCATCCTCAATGTACCCTTTCTCATTAGTCGATGCATACCCGAACCCGGTTAACTCTCTTTAATTTTAGGGTTGGCGCCGCAGTGGATAGTGAGCCCCGCAGTGATAGAGCAGTACCGCAGTGAATATACATTTAAAACACATGGGCATTCTGAATATGCAAAAATAGTGGAAATCTTCATATATCTCAAATATAATAATACATCCGTAGCTAGAATGATGTAGCTTCAAAATTCTGAAACTTTTGTTGTTAGAATAATGTAGTTTCTAAATCCAAAACACTTTTGTGGGGTTTTTTTTCAATCTCCTGCAACTTCAAAATATTTAAAGTATAAGGATACCTGAATGACTGTTTTCTCAACTTTGTGCCATATTTGTATCCTTACATTAATTGGTTTAACTCAAGACACCTGTAGAAAAAAGTCGGTCATCAAAGATGTTTCGTGGTAATATTTCAATTGTAATGAGTCCACCTGATTTAGAAATATGTTTATTCTGGGGGTAATTTCATGAAACTGTTGTCATATTCTCGCGTTACATTAATAACATTGGTACATATTAAATCAATATAAACTGAGAGGAAATATAATTGTTAATACCATTGTGCTGAGCTGATGTTGATCACCACGAGCTACCACTATATACCTTAGCTAGATTCAAGGGGGTAAATTATATTAACGTCATACTAAATGAATGGACCATGTTTACGTTGGAACTCTCCGCGACCTTACTGTTGATTGACGGTGATAAAAACCCTTTTGATTAGTGTTTATGATCTTCAAACAGATGACAAATTAGAACTACTTGACTTTTGGGATTACATTTAATCAAAATGAAAAGAAAATGGTTTCGGACACTCACATTTCTGATAAACAAATTGTCCTGTAGTTAATATGTACGTAAAATGTTTAACAATTCGGTAAAGCATGACATGACATAATCCACAACATGACATAACATAATCCACAACATGACAAAACATAATCCACAACATGACATAACATAATCCACAAAATGACATGACATAATCCACAACATGACATGACATAATCCACAACATGACATGACATAATCCACAACATGACATAACATAATCCACAACATGACATAACATAATCCACAACATGACATAACATAATCCACAACATGACGGATGACAATGTTTGGTACACTGTGAAAACATTTATGTGATCCAAGATTGTTGATCTGTCTACTGGTAAAGGAACGTAATAATGATATAGGCACCGTCTCTCTCTAAGTGAATTTCTACCTATGCGATGGAACATATTTGACAAGGATTTCCATCCTTTTGACCATCAGTACCACTGATGAGTCTTTACTGGCCAAAACGGCCATATGGTGCAACAAACATTTACGTAATGTGGTTCTCTGCATCGATCTGAAGTTAACAAGGTGATTTCTAATTTTGTAATTCCAGTGATATTACTTTACGACCAACAATGTGGTTGACTCTGCTATAGAAACCCGATTCGGTATCTAGAGTTTACTTTGGCATAGAAAACATGAAAACTGGTTTAAGTCTTCTGCTCTAGTTGTAAACGTGTTACGTAATAAGGGTTATATATGTACCCTACACCAGATGTTGTGGTACTTAATTTAGGTTTCAGAACACTTCAGACACCGAGTTTCCTTCTTATGACCGTATAAAGTAGCAGTATGTTTTTCTTCATCGACTTCAAATAGATTCTTTATTTGGTATTTCTGGTGTTTATTATAGCACCTTAAATTCCACAGCTGGACATTATTAAATTACAATATAGCCTTTATGTCATAACGTAAATTTAATTAATCATGGTTATATGGAGAGTACAAAAGATTTGTAACTGTGGAATTTTTGATGACTGAAACAAATACATTGAATTGTTACAATGGGATGTTTATTGCAGAAGTAAAATGGCACACAGCAGTGTACAATACCTATAATTCTCAATTGTATTAAAACACAGTAAACTCATATCTTCAGTAGATGAACAACATTGGTTTAATACACGATTAGCAAATTCCCTGTAATCTGATTGGCCGAGGTCATATCGGCATATGTACGTACAAACAAACAAAAAAACAGAAACTGTGATTTTCTTTTGGCATTCCATGGAAAATGATCTTTTGTGATTTAAATATTTTTTATACGTAGTATAACTATGACCTCTTGTCATCATCTGCAGGTGGTATGCTCTCAATTTCTTTATCCCAAACAAACGTCCGTATGGCCCATTGGGCTCAGACAGTATTTCCTGTTTGATAATATATGAAATTAAAGTATCATATAATTAAGTAGTTATTAATCTTTGTTGTGATCCATCGAATGATTTATCAACCGTTGAAAGATAATCTTTCCTTCAGCTCCGACATCAGGTTAATCTTTCTCGGGTTGATAAAGTATTGTATAGACTTCAGACGAGGTTAATAATTGTATATGACATACGGGACACTATTGAAGATGTACTACAACGGAATGTTATAAACATATAAAGCAATGCGTTTTTTATGCACTATGTTCTGTAAAATAATTTCTTAAGACTATTGATTGCGAAAGATGTAGAGTCATAAAGAAAGATTACCTCCCTTTATATCATACACAAAGAAACACAAAGAAACACAATATTTAAACATTAATGATTGTCCTACGTGATTATATCCTTATTCCATCTCGGAATCCCAAGCTCTTGGTGAAAAATAATAAGTATTTCGGTAAAATAAAATTCACTGTGTTTTCCGTTGCTGATCGACAAAGCGAAACAAAAAAAAATCAAAAATTAAATTGTGACCTGTTCTCGCACAACGTTATGCTTAACAACATCTACACCTGGCGGAGACGTGTCGATTACGAACACTTACACTTAAACACACAGCCATACCCTTCCTCGAGCTAAGACACGTAAACACATTCCCAACTGCAATTTAATTTAACATATGGCAAGCAATTCCCACTCTTATAATTCTTTAAAGCGCTGGTTTATTCACTTCAGTGCTTATGGCAATACAAAACTGAGCCACGTAGTAGCAACTCAGCACAATGAATTCGGCAAAAGGCACGTAGAATTTCCATTTGGCAATTGCTATGATGAAGTCAGAAAACATGAAAAAAAACATCCCAATGCTGCCGAATAATGCCGAGTACGTTTGGTTCCGTTCGTACCGCGCCTCCGCCCTCCACCCCACAGTAAATATCACAGCAAAGTAACAAAGTAGAATCAACTGCATCACACAGCTGTCGATGGCATCAGCAATGTAGAGGAAGGACGCCACGCCAGCAAGAGCGAATATGGACTTGATCCTACTGTCTGGAACCTCGCTCGGTCCAAAGGCAAGCAGGTAACAGACATGTGCCACCATAAAGGCGAGCATACCAGGTATGAAGAGAGTAGGTCTCGATACCAAGAAGGCGTCACCAATGCTGGATATCAGTAAGCCAAGCATGACAAACTTTGAATAATATTCTTTAGGGAAAATGTCCGGCTGTTGGACTCCTGCGGTCTGTCTAACGAAAAAGGCCAGGCTCCAGATAGGAAGTGCTTTGAAGAATGCGGCTGAGAAGGTAACGGGAGGGTAGTCCCAGAACGGAAGATAAGCCAGATAGTAAACCGTTACAAATCCATAGAAAGGAAACAACCTTGTATTCTTCATCCGCCTGATAAGCTCTTCCCTAAAGGAATCCATAGCGTCTTTATCTGAAAAAGAAATGAAAATATCAGAATACAATACCATTATCCTTAACTGTCATGCAAAGCGTTGTTTTAATGCTAATCAAGATCCATATCAGAAACAATGGCCTTCTCCCATTATTTTAGTACTGATCGGTAGTAACCTTGTCTTACAGCAATAAAACCGTCGGTATATATGTAAAATATCGATACAATAAAGAAGCCGTCTACACACACTGCATATATTTCCTAACAATAAGACATATCAACATGCATGAAATTAATTATTCAATCGATTGTGTCCGTGTCACAATACCTGTACGTATCAGTAACATAACGTCAGCACAAGAGTTACTGCTGTTCTGTTAAGACCACTTGGCGACCCAGGCAATGCAATGTCCACACATTCAATGGTGATAGTTACGCTGGTGTTCTAGATGGCCGGTATAGATGTGATAGGACACTAGCTAGCGGGTCCATACGGAGGTGTAATATCGCTGAAACTGCAACTGGTAATATTGAACACAGCTCCAACTCTTAGACAAAGCTACATGCGTTAAATTTAAAGCTACGATATATGACTGATGCAAAACATAGTTTTTCATTTTTTTCATGAACTACTTAATCTATAAACCGTTGGTGTGTTCTAGGTTTCCTGCTGAAATGGCTGATATAAAGAACAACGATAACAGAACATATTTCCTGTTACAGTATGTACAGCGTGAAACAGGAATAAACGTTATTGAAACGGATGTTGAAAAAGACAGGACTTACCACTGCTGACCGACAGGATATGTATTGAGGATGTATACTTGTATAAGCAAGTGTTGGCTTGCTACACGGACATTCACCGTAGTACATCACCTATCATAGATCACGAGTACAAGCATACCACAGATTGGAGATAATTTTATCAAGTCTATATACTAAGTCAATATTGAAACACAACCCCTATATCTTTATGGCTAGACGTTTTACTATACAGTTTGTATCATTCTATCTCGGCAAGTGTGAACATGTAGTAGTTATCATACAGGCCGAGCTGTGTATGTGACAAGGAGCCTCGCTATTTAAACTCTTCACCAGACTTAAATCATTAATTAATCAAGATTAAACTCATTTTACTTGTGGATTGACAATATCAGGAAAAAATAATTTCAACACTTGATAAGTCCCTGTCAGCACAATACATGTTAGGTATATATTTATTATTACTAATTACAACAGTGCTTGTCCCTGTGAAGATTTGTATTTATTACTGTTAATTAAAAAATATTATTACAAAAAGAGCATTCAAGGAAATACTAATTAAGAATTATGCGTAAAAATAGTGTACCCAGGATTATAAGGAAAATAAAAAATTGTGTATCACATTAAGTTATTTGTCAATTCAATATTTGACGTCGCTTTAAATACTAACCTATAGGCATGAAATAATCTGTTTTTAATAAAATAAAATACATCGAACCCTTTTGTTGTTTGTTCGTGAAGAGTATTTAGCACCCCGATATTATCTTTGAAGACACCAAACAGATGTTGTCTAATAAAAATAATGACACATTTCCAATAAATGTTTATTATCTGATGTAGTTTGCGAAGCTGGCTGAAAATTTGGCACTTGTCTAAAAGAACATCAGCCATGGTCAGCAACTTGCAATAACACTACTACAAGATAAAAACCAGAAGTCCAGTTTTACAAATATCAGATTGAAAGCCAGTTTTACAAATAAACAATAACTAATCATGGCAATAATAAATACGAGTAACAGATTGTACAAACTCCTAAATGTTGTCTAATACACACCAATACCGTTTCACCCACAGTAGTCCTACCTGCTGGTATTCATTGGTTTAAACAACATTTTATTTCATTTGTCAGTTATTACCAGTACACACATAAATAGAAATAGGGTATGGCAGCAAGATTTAAAATCGTATAATAAGTCATCTCCATTAGAATGCAATTACGACAGCGAAGTTCTTCAATAAACAGTAACATTGCAGTTAATACACATAAATTGTTTACATGAACAGTTTGTGATAACACTGCCCGTTTTATGAGTTGAACTTAAGCTCATAGGTAGGTATGATTTAAGAATGGAAATAGTAATGAAGAGAGCATGAAAATATCCTACACTACACTGGCACCTAGAAACAACCCGACTCTATAATGTAGCGTTGTACCTTATCAAATATAATTATGTTATCATTTTAAGACAGATTTAGGTCACCATAAATTAACAGTTCATGGCTCAAATTAATATTTAAAGTTCCTAGGGTTTTCACTCTGGAAAGATTAAAGATCGTACACTGCATCAAATAATTGGAAGGACTTTCGAGCTTCCACCTGCCCAAATCTACATAGAACTGTGTCTGAAACATGATTAGTATAGAGATAATAATTTAGGGAGCTACATCCAAGACAAAGTCGTGTATGAAGTACCTGGGCCAAGCAATCGCCAGTATAGTAACACGGAGGTTTACTAATAGTTGTCTGTTGAGGTAATTTGTGAAAGTATACTGAGATGGAGAATTTCTTATATCAATTGGTATGTCATTCCATTCCCTGATGGAAGTGAGTAAGAAATAGGTCATGTAAACATAAGTTCTACTTGATGATGGATGTTTATTTATATTGATCATTAAGTTACGAACATGGAAAGTCTCTATCTGTTATGGTACAGCACCATGATATAGTTTGTACAAAGTTATCATTCTATGATTATATCGCCCACGTGACAATGTTTCCCATCCCGTTTCAAACATAATGGCGTTGGATGATGCTTCAGGCACAATTCTGTCTGCTTCAATATGAAGTTTTTCAAGTTCTTGACAATATTGTTGAGTACAATTACCCCGGTTTATATTGGCATATTCCAAGAAAGGTCGTATATATGAAAATACATAATTTCTAAAGATTGTTAATATATTTGTATTTATCAGAACAACACAAGTATACCCAGACAATAATCAATTGCCACAGTCGAGTGCAAGTGATATGATACAGTAACAAACTTCCAACCAACATGACGTCACATATGATGTTTTATTGTACAACTTTGACGATTACAGGAATATGATTTAATGGTCCTAGCTTTAAACTGACATGACATGTTTACTTTAAACCGTTAGGGAAACGAAAATTTCAGCTTTGTTTTAAACCGACATGGTTTTGCTGATAGTACAAGGGTACGATATACCGCCTGCTTTTAACTGATATGTCATCCTTGATAGTACAATATATATCAGCTCGCTTTATAGCGTACCCTTGCAGTTCGGTGATTTAGAATATATATATATATACTTGCTGCTATTCGCTGCATCTTGTAAGAGGCTACTTACGTGGGAACATTTGCAGAATTGGGGATTTCTGTTGTTCCCTCTACTTAGGGACACGATATTGATCAAAAATAAATCTGCTTCATCTATTTTAACAGTTTCTCAATCCCTAACGCCTTGCTAGACAATTCCTTGTTTTTTGCCTTGGTGTGACGTGTTCGCCCAAGCGAGGAGGTTGTGGGATCTGTTCGAGACAAAAAAAAGTCCTAAAAGTCGGTCCTTACTGTTCTGTTTGACGTACAGCTTCAAATTGGTGTCGATAAGAATTGGTTTGCCCGTTGTCAGTTTAATACGACTGGGTAGAGTTGACACGCTACCGTGTTCATGATTGGACATTTCAGTTTGACGCTACTTTAAAGTGGCTCCTAAGTGGCCTTCTTATTTATCGACATCGCCTTTATATGATCGAAGTCATCCCCGACACGCCAGGGGTTACGCTCACTTTCGCTCTCTGCACCCCTGGAATATGTCATAGCAAAATTGAAGGCACGCGGAAAGCTGTGTGATTAGTCTCAGGTAGAAACTGACCAATCACTAGACTGATACCTGTCCTTTGATTATTACAGAGGAGCGACACCCAACTTCAAAGTCAGTCAATTTTACCGTTAGGCGACCGCAAGGTTCTTTTGGGGAACATCAAAGGATCAAACTTGTCTTCTCGTCTCGTCCATAGACGTATAAAGCCTATACGTCTCTGTCTCGTCCACAATGTGTCGCAATTGCACCTTCGATTTTGCTATGACATTTTCCAGGGGTGCAAGGAACGTAAGGGAGCGTAACTCCTGGAGTATCGAGGTCGGATCTAATTTGGAGGACGTACCCTCAAATCGTCATCACTGTAAACCGGCATGTCATATACTCGATTGTACAATGGAAACGATTTAGACTGACATGGTATCCCTGATAACATAACGAAACGATATTGCTTAAAACCGACATGAAATCCCAACCATGCAAGTGAATGATATAAGCAAACATGGTTCTCAAGAACGATATATCAGCTTGTGGCATCCTTGAATGTGCAGGGATATGATATATATCTACGATTTAAACCGTTAGTGTTGACAAGTCCGCTCAATCTGACCATAATCTCAGACCAGAACATTCTTATCGGTCAGTGCTGACTTCAAGAACCAGGATATAGACATACCAGCCATCTTTAAACCGGCCAGACATAACTGGTGATACCATCCATCACTTACTCTACACACTGCAGATCAATACAGCACAAAATGTACATGTCCCCACACCGACTCGCCCGGCTGCCCGACAGGGCGTGGGCTACACAGCCCTACTTACCGTGTAAAGTTTCCTGATGGTCCAGCAGTAGCATTCCCCGGGATGTCGGGGTTTTTGGTGATCGACCGTGTCCCTTGATTCCAATTTCTTTTGTCAGTCAGCTCCGGCGGATTTCCGAGTCGCCGTTTTCGTTTCTGTGGCCGCTTCTGCCCTGCAGTTGGAAAAGAACGCATGGATATCGATTATTGCAAAAGCTGCTTTCGTGCTGCCATGATTTCTCCCTTGTATCAGCATGAATCATGCATGCTATCGACGTTACATAGGTTTAAAAAAAGCAAGAAATAACAACTACATAAATATTGTATACAACGTATTTGATGTACAGCACGACAACATGTTATATCGTACTTAAGGCTAATTATATTGTGTCTGATAATCCATGTAAGTAAAACAGTATATTGTATATAAATGTTATTATATGAATTGAAGGTAACTCAATTGGATGAAATCGCTTGGAGGGTAGTTAAGACACATGAAAGTTTCAGTAATGCTAATAGACGAACGCAGGTATAAAACTCTGGTAGCCTAAAATTCCTGTGTACATGTGTTTCCTAACATGCATGTAGCACAAGAGAAAAATTTATCACATGACGTCATATAAATTCACATAACACCAATATAACAATGAGAATCATCGGTGGATATAACACCAATAAACAAAGTGGACCATTGAACAAACAAGGAAAACAGTGGTCACACTACCGCTAAAAAAACAAAGGCGCTTAGTGAACACACACACTAAACATGTCTTAGTAGTTTTTTGTGGGAGTTTTTTTTCAAGTTTTTCCTTATCATTTTCTTCCTTTAGTTCATGAATTAGGTCATGAATTAATTACGATTTCATTTAATAAAAAATAGTTATATTTCTTTATAGCTATACATGGCTAATTACTAGGTTTTATCTCTGTAGTATACATATATACGTACAGTTCTGTAAGTTTGCGATGGCATATTTTACTTCTAGTACGTCTTGATGAAATTGCTGTCACGAGAAGAAACCCATAGAAAAGGCGGCAGTATTAAAGCTGAATGTCAGGGGCGGATCCAGGATTTCCTAAAAGGGGGGGGGGGGCCGAGAAATTTTTCTCAATAGTCAACGGTGTGCTGCGAAAGGCAGCAGCCCGAGCGCGTAGCGCGAGGAGGGGGAGGGTACAGACCCCCTCCCCTTAAGGGGGGTTTGGGGGATCTCCCCCCCCCCCCAAAAAAATGTGTTTTCTAGAACGTTTCAGAAGCGATTTCCCGTGTTCTGAGGATTGTTTTTATGTTTAATTAACAAGAAGAAAAAAGCATATTTTAAGTATGGCCCAAAATCTTTTTTTGTGTAGTGGAAAGAAAATTAAAGTTTCGGTTCAAATTCTCTATCAACAGCGTGTTTTAGAAGTCAGATGGTATTTTTATAGGGGCAACCTGGTGATGACAAATGTATGAATCCACAGGGGGCTTGTTCATTATTACCTAATTTGGCGTCCCGCCCGCAAGGGGGATACGAGAGGTCCACCGTCAAAATATAAATCTAGTCTTCAGACATTGTACGTTTGTCGTACAAAAGAACAAATAACACCATAACATCGTTGCTGTTTAATTAATGAGTTACTCATGGCATCACTAAGTTGCTAAACAAACGGTAAGTTCAAATCAGTGCGACACCCAAGGCCACTAGCTATATACAGGGGCGTTTCTAGGATATTTGAAAGAGGGGGCGTAGAATAAAATCTGTCGCCGAGCGGAGCGA